CTTCAAGTGCTGAACGGGGCTGGAATCTCAGCCCGACGTCACTGCTGCAAGTTGTGTCTGCATGCGCGCTGCTATCTCCCTTCTTTGGGTTTCTGAGGCGGCGTGACACTTGCCACAGATCGTGCAAACTACACTGGTGTGTTTTAGAGCCCTCCACCAGGCTCTCAGCACTTACTGTCACCATACCTCAGTATTTCTGTAGCTGTGCGGGGTGGGTGACCTCCAGCAGGTGCTGGCAGGAAGCCTCACACGCTGAGTTTCCCCCGGTGAGCGCGCTACCTCGCAGCCCTTCCTCCCTGCTCCGAGCTGCAGGCTCTGCTGGCAGCTCAGCACCCTGCTCGAGGCAAGGTGCAGGGACTCTGCCCATAAATCCTCCAGTGCAGCCATCGTGCTGGCTCAGTACGGTGTCACTACCGACGTATTTTGAGAACTCCCTTAAAAGGTCTCTTGGAAACTGATTTGAAAATAGATCGTTAAAGGTGCCGTTCTCACAGCTCTGACCTCTTACCCACCTTTTATCTTATGTTTTTCTTACTATTTTCTTCCCAGAGATGAAGAAGAAAAGGCAAATTGGCATCTTTTTAAAACCCAGAACATTCCCAGGCAAATCCTTTCAAGTCAGTGGGCAGTGACTGCTCCCCGCACAGGCGCAGGAGGGTGTTAGGGGTTGCGTTGCTCCTGCAGGCTCCGGGCTCACAGTTCAGCTCTGTTGTCTTCTCCAAAGAGCAGCTGTTGCAACATCAATCTTCAGACATGATGGGCACTGGAGGCTAGATGCTTCTCTGGTGTAAATCCCCTGCAGGCAGCAGCGTTATGCTGGGGATGTGCTTGTCTCACAGCCAGGATTAACCTTTAATGTATGCCAGTCCCCTCTAATTTCCACCTCTAAGACGGCAAGTAAGAGTGTGACTGGCCGAGCACTTCAGGACTCAAGTGCTTGCACAGAAAGTTGAGTGCCTGTTGGATGCTGTGCTGAATGGCCTTCGTGGGTAGGTGGACGTGTAGAGATGGACTAGATGCACGCGTGCATGGAGGTGTATTGGTACTTGCACAACTTTTAGCAGGGAGAGCCAGCTATTTAAAAAAGAGTTGTGTCAGTCCCATGGTACTCAAGCCTTAATTGCTAACCTACTTTGAGGCTTGAAATAATTAAGCCTCAAAAATACTCCAAGGTCTTTTTAGGTTCCTCCTTCTTTCATCACAACAGCTGCTCCTGTGAGAGTCCCTTTTGCTTATTTCCCATCTGAAATACACAGTACAAATAACAGAGAAGGCCTTGTGGAAAACAGATCATTAAATGAGATTAAAACTGCTGGAACCTAAAAAGATGTGGGATGAATAAGACATTCTTAGCAAAGCTTTCGTTTCATCCTGTTGGTTATTTCTTAGCAGCGTTTGCTCTGCGGTGGCACCTACAACTGCGCACCAAGGCTCTGTTGGGTAGGATCCTCGTGTAGCTGCGGGGCAGAACGAAGCGGGTTGTGGGACCTTGCCATGCACAGGGCAGTGGGATCGTGCTGGGAGGGCAGGCAGACAGACAGACAGGAGATGGTTGCTGCATCGGGACTTACCTAAACCACGGCTGGTATGTTGTAGCCAACTGTATGTAGGGAGGAGCCTGCAGCTCCCTCACAGGGGAGCGGAGGGGCAGGCGCTGAGCTCTGCTCCCTGGGGACAGCGACAGGACCCGAGGTGACAGCATGGAGCTGGGACAGGGCAGGGTCAGGCTGGGGGATAGGGAAAGGTTCTGCACCCAGAGGTGGTTGGGCACTGGGATGGGCTGCCCAGGGCAGTGGGCACGGCACCGAGCTGCTGGAGTTCCAGGAGCATTTGGACAATGCTGGCAGACACAGGGTCTAGTTTTGGGGTGGTGCTGTGTGGAGCCAGGAGTTGGACTCGATGGTGCTTGTAGGTCCCTTCCAGCTTGGGATGTTCCATGATCCTGTGATTCTATGATTCTGTGATCTCCTCTATTTAATCAGTAATTCAAGAAAAGCCTTGGAAAGTGAGATCGTCAGGGAAGGATAGTTTAGTAGCATCTAGAGATGAGTCACTGATTCTGATTGCTCCTACTAAAAAGATGAAAAATCACTCAAAAATGTTTCTTGCCTTAAGAACAGAGGATAAAATTGCTGTTCAGTTATTAACCTACAATCCAAGTAGAATCTGCATAGCTCTCATATGAGGAATATAAGATAGCAGCATTTTTGAAGCATCCAAATGACAACAAGATCAGAGGACAGAGAAGAGCTTTGGTTTTGATCTCACCAAATAATTGTACCATTTCATACTTTACTTTTTAGATGAGGGGTTCATTAAAGACAGACATACTTCAACAAACACGGACCTTATGTATGTGAAAGGCAAACCGCACTGGCACTATACTAATAGAGCTAGGTTTTTGCTTGAAATTAAAGATCCCAATTATTTGTTTGTGTAATAATAGCACCGGTCCCTTGAGATCTGTCTGCGTTCTCAAGTATTTTTCAGCTTGTGGTGTAATTTAAACCAATCAAAATCTTCACCTGCTCCTGAGGACACGCTTTTTTCTCATTTGCAGCCTCTCTCTCCTCAGTCTAATTTGTGTCTCTTTGGAGGCTGAACAAAAGAGAACGGATATTCTGAACCAGTGAAGCTGCTCTTATTGCCAGAATTAAAATACCTGAACAAAAGATTATAACCAGGCAGCTGCTCTTCGCGAGCGTGTCGTTGTCCCTGTTACAGTTCTCCTCAAGGGTTATTGATCCTTCAGCTCTCCCACTCTGAGTATCTTCACTAACGTGTCTGGGACTGCTGCGTGTAAGTGCAGATTGCAAAATCTCCCCGCGTTTGGGAACACCGTGACCTGTGAGGCTGGCCCAGAGGAAGGTGTGCGACGGCTTTGCCTCCCAGTGCCTGCCTCGGAGGCAAGGTGAGCGCTGGGTAGTAGTGCAGCCAACTGCAAATGACCAAGGAGGTGCAAATTCAAGTGGAAAAAATGGTGATTAGGGCAGACAAATACCATGGATCTTTCCTTGGTCTGGCCAGCTGCTCTTTCTGTATGTCGGATGTCCCCTGGCCTGAGTCACATACAGAAGGGGGAGCTGCCCGCAGAGCTCGGGGACAGGGGGCTGCTGGCTGGGACAGCGTTCCCCTGCCCCAGGGATCTCTGCTGGTGCTGAGCCCCTCGTTCCAAGAGTTGCAAGAATTTTCAGAAGGTTCATGATACGAGTTCAGGCTGACATCTCTCAGAGGGCTGTTTTCTCTTTCACTGGATTTTGGTTTCATCTGTTGTTTGTTCATCCAAACGGGACTTTTCTGAGTATAAAAGTCTTTTACAAGAAGTCCCAGCACTGCCACATCCACTCTCAACACAGTTTCTGGGATCTTGTCTTGCAAGCATTCAAACTACACCAGAAACCAAAAACAGAGATATTTTTGACCAGAAAATTGCCGTGTCCTACTGATGATTAGAAGTTAATTGCCTAGCCCGGTGTTTTTACACAAAGTCAGTTTTAGTAAATAACTTAAAACATGATTGCTTCCCACACTGCCTAGACATGCCGTGACTTGTAATTCCGATAAACACCTCTCCTGTCACCGTGCCTCTTGAAAAGCAGCTCCCCGTTACATCTGATGGAGCAGCTGTGTGGCAATGCACTGGCAGTGCCCAAAGGGAGGTGGCAGGCTCAGGACCAGCTGTCTGCAAGAGGCTTCGGGCGTGCAGGTGCATAAGGGAGATGTGACAGATGGGTGGCCAGCTAGGAGGGGGTCACTCGGGGTGTCCCCAAGTTGCTGTGAGTGCAGCCTTTTGTCCCCTTTCTCAGGCCTCTCAGTCCTGGCCTTCTGTTGGGATCTGCTTGGGAAGGGCAAGGGCTGCGGGAGGCTCTGTGGGCTTCCCCTGCAGAACCTGGAACAGCTTATGTCAAACCTGGGGATAAGGGGAAGTAGCAACAGGCAAAGAGGACTCCAGGCCTCCCTGTGCACTGCTAAAAGCTGGTTTCTGTCCCCATCCTTGTTTCCCACCAAGCAGAATTACAATCCCAAATGGATCTTTCAGACTACGGAGCTGGTCAGTGGAAAATGTGACGCTAAATAATCCACGCTGACCCACTTCCAGCATATAATCATAATGATTACATGTCAAATCCTGTATGTTTTATTTTTTGAATCTGAGTGGGGTTTTTTTTGGCATCCATTGGCCAGCTGGGCAGTGCTCTGCTCTGGCCATGGGGCCATTGTGGGGCCAGGACCCCAGTGATGATATTCCCAATGCGCTGCATGTGACTGAGGGAAGTAGAGGCACAGTACCTTTAGTCATGGGATGGGTATAAAGAGGAGTTTGCTGGGACACTTTCAGAGCAAATGCTTAATGTTTTCACCAGGGGCTTCTGAATGTGTTTAGTACTCACATGGATGAGGAAGGCATCCTGGAAAAAAAGTTCAGTCCAACCATTGCTGGGGATTCAAAGAGGGAATGGGTAGGAATTTTGCAAGAAGAGAAGAGTAGCATTTAAGTCTGATAGGTCTGTAAAAATTAGTTTGTTTAAACTAAAAATCCAAAGGATAAAATCATCTGTGGTGGTGTGACAACAATGACCCTAACGGTGTTGGATCAAGTAGCTTAATGAACATGCAAAGTCCTTCTTTGATGTATAAGCCTTATTATTGAAGTCAAAATTATGTGAAGCACTGCAATAGCCGTTTCTTGTCATCTGCCGTTGCTGGGCTGTGCTGTCACTGTGCCTGTACTTTGCCACACGTTGTCACATGTGGTATTTGGGGATGGTGGCAGGAGGGGCATCCCAGAGTGGTCTTCCTGTGTGTTCAGAGCTAGACCTGAACACACAGGTCTAGACCTATTCTGCCTTCTTTCTGATCAGTCCTTGGTTGTCATGGTGTGGAAATCTGGGGGTTTGCCATCAGTATTCTGCCAAGTGCCATCCTCTGTGCTCACCAATAGCTTGCCCTGACCTCATTTGCTGACCCTTTCCCTTGTCCTCTTTCTCTTTACTCTGCAGGTTGGAGACTGGCCGCGATCATGTCTTGCCCATTGACTATTACTTTCCACCTCAGAAGACTTGCCTGATCTGCGGCGATGAAGCATCGGGGTGCCACTACGGAGCCCTCACGTGCGGGAGCTGCAAGGTGTTCTTCAAACGGGCGGCTGAAGGTAACTCACAGGGAGAGGAGGGACAATCACTCCAACCTCCACGTTCTGGGTTTCTCCACCAGTGCTTTAAGAGCCAAAGGCTCCTGAGTTTCTCTTACCAGCAGTGAAGTCATTAACACATGGGTGCTGGAAGCATTGGCAGCAGCCTTGCTTGATTTGGGGAATCTGCTAAGCAAGGGGACAGAGAGATGAACAGTGGTGACAAAGCGTGGTAGATTTCTAAGATCTCTTAAATTTAGGAGGAGCTTAAACATAAGGGAGAACATTCAAAGATAAATCGATTTCTTTGTTTGTAAACCCACTTTACAGTTTGCCAAACACCATCCTTTTCAATTCTTGGTTATCCACAGTGACCTGGTTAGACCTCACAGAAGTCAGTTCCTGCTTCCCTTTTCTTCTTCACCCTCAGGGTTGCTCTAAGGTCCCATCAGCGCTCCTGCGATCTCAGCCCCACAGGTTCACATTTAGTGGATGCTTTTCCTCTCTTGCATCCCTTTCAGAGGGTCACTTACCTCAGCACCTGCAGAACAGCAGTCCTTCTCGTACAGCAGAGCCATCTGTCCGTCAAGACCCGTGCTCTGACCTTGGTGTCTGTGATCCTTCTCCCCAAAAGCAGAAGGAACTTTTCCACAATTCCCCCTCACATCAATGTCCACCACACAGTGGCCGCACACCGCCGGGGTCTGCCTTGCAGGCTGCGGGCTCCTGGCAGAGGGCAGCAGCGTGGCTCCAGCTGCTTGTCCCTGCCTCGTCCTGGCGCGAGCCTTCCCTCCCGCATCCCGTGTCACGGCCTGAGGACAGCAGGGCCCAGACGGGTGGATGCTCACCAGTCCATCTGAGCGCTGCTTCGAGATTGACTCCAGGATTATCCTGTACGTTTTTGGAGTCTCATTTTCCTTCTTCCGTTACTCATGCCAGGAGTGACTCCTTTCAACTTGCCAGCACTAGTTCAGAGAGGAATCAGGGCCGTGCTACAGAGGACAATAACATCCTGTTGCTGTAATAGGACACTCAAATAATATTAATAAATAATGTTTGGCATCTTTTCCCAAGTAAATCATTTATAAGCCTGCTTCTGCTATACACCAATTCTGTGTAAAGCCAAATGAATTGGCTGTGCAGCCAGAGTAAATAACAGATGCTTGTTTAAGTCAGCAAGTTATTGTTGATTTATAGTAAGTGGAGCCTTGGCTGTCTGTCAGATAAGTTGTTGGTGAAATAGTACATGTCATCTAACGAGTGCCAGAGCATTCCTCTTACATCGGGGTGGACTCCGTCGTGTGCAGTGGGAGTCCTGCAGATGAGGGATGTGAGTTGCCTGCTGTGGGGAGGAGGATGGAGAAAGAGGGAGAAAAAGAGCTGGCAGCCTGTGCTGCTTGCAGTGTTCTTAAGGCACACGTTGTGTTGTCGTTCCCTCTCTTGGTTGTGTTGCATTATGAATTTTAACAGTATTTACACCTCTTCCTACTTTCTAAGCTTCGAGGTGCTGCAGGGGGTTAGAAGTGTTTGGTTGCCTGGGATCTGGTAGCAGTTCTGCCAGATGTGATCCTGCCCGCAGCAGCCCTTTGCCTGTCCCTGGATGAGACTGTGCAGCAAATGTGCCCACAGTGAGGAGTGGGGAGGGAGCTGCCTCCTGCCGAAAATGCTCTCGGCAGCACTGTCTGGTTTTCCTTTGAGCAGATAAAAATGTAAATGAAATCTTTTGCAGTTCCAGATACCACTTCGTTGTATTTCATGGGACAGGCTTTGTTTGACAGACCGATAGCGCCTGCATAGTTGAGAGCTGTTTGCTGGCTTTCCATCAGAAAGCTTCCTCCGCAGAGCGTCCAGGTGCTGAAACATTTCCTCCTGGTCCGGTGCTGCGTCAGGCAGCGCTGCCTCTGCGTGTCTGTGAGCAGAGGTTTGCTGGTTTCAAACAGACTTCCTTCGGTTCCTTCCCAAAGGATTTTTATTTGCTTGTTTTTCTTTTGTATGCCTGGGAGATATTTCTGCATGGAATAAAATCGCAGTTCTGGGCATTTTTTTCTTGGTGATGGCAAGGGAGAGGTGCCCCCTTTGCAGACGGGAGGGCAGGCGGCTGGCACTGGTGGGACGTGGGCAGCGCAGGGGAAGCAAAGCTGTGGTCGTGGGTGCTGGCACCACGCCTCCAGGCTTGGTCTGCAGGCAGCGGGGGGAAGCACGGCTGCAACCTCGGTAAATGGCAAGAGAGAAATCAGAAACCGGGTGGCTGGGAAAGAGGAAGGAGCTGGCGGCTTGAAAAGCCGGGAGGCTGTGGCTTCCAGCTCTTGTAGACAACAGGATTTAGTCCTTGGGGGGCTGCAGCTTTCCACCAAATCTGCAGGTTTGTTTCTGTTTGCTTGTCTTCCCCGCTTCCTTCGCTGTGTCCTTCATGCAATTTCCAAGTTCAGAAATAATTTAGGGGGGTGTTATGCAGAAATTGATGGGAGGCAGTTCTCTGGATTTAACCTAGTGACGGGGTGGAAGCTGAAGCAGAACTTTTCGCAGTTTTGTGTGCAGCAGTTTTCAGCAAGAAAATGTAATGTAAATGCATGTTGTGTATTGAATAATTAGATCTAGTGAGTGTGGGATTTCATCTTACGTTACCCTGAGGTACCTGGATAGCATCTTTATTTTGCGGAATAAACAATAAATCAGACTTGTTTATAAATATTGAATGTAACTGGTGATTTTCCAGCCAGACATTTCCTTCCGAAAGTTGAGGAGTAATTTTGAAAGCTGATATTTCAGTGTGTTCTTATGTTTTAAAGTCCATAAAACATATCTTTGAAAACCTTAGGGCACTTTGGAGACATTTTACAACAGCAGATTGCAAAGCTTACCCAGTGAGAACAGACATCCTTCTTCTGCCTTTGTTTCCTCCCTGTTGCTGGTATCAGCGGCTTTGGAAAGGTCGGAGAAGCGTGTACTGTGAGCTGAAGAGCAGCACAAACAGATCACCTCAAAGGGAATGGGGAATAACTAGACACGTAGGTTTTTGTTTTATCATATTATTTGCTTTGTACACTATTGTACTTATTTGGTAATAATTCTGGGATATTTAAAAAGGTTTTATAGATATACACTGACTTAAAAATAATCGGAAAGTGATAAAAAATTAAAATGAAAAGTTTTAACATTGTCCTCTTCCATTTTGAAACATACGGAGGATTCATGTAGTGTTCAGTAGAGCAGATGACTCCTGCTTTGATAAAATGTTTGATAGATTTTTTTAATTTTTTATTTTCCTGCTCAAGTCCAACCAGTTCTTCCAGAATGATTCTGGAAGAGTTCATAGAAAAGACACGAATATTTTCCTGATCTGCTAAGGTCAGCTGTTTCATTGCCCAAGCTGCCCAGGTTAAACATAGGCAAGCTTTAAAACCCATCGTGCAGGTTCTCCAGCTCTGATGTGGACTTGTTCACTTGCAAGGCTGACAGCCTCATTTTTGTAATCAGAACTGGCATTCGTCTCTCCCTCTCTGCCACCCCACCTCGGTGTCCAGGTGCTGAGGAGCCCACAGGGGCTGGACTCTGCGCCACAGCGCTCTGCTGCACCTCTGCTGCTAGGGGCATTCACAGCCTACAAAGGAGGACTTCTCTTCCTTCCTCCTTCTCCTGCAAAACAAAGATTTGTTGAAGAAAAAGTACATCCACCCCATACAGATTTTAATTTTCCCAACACAAGTAGGAAGGACTGCAAGTTGAAGCTTTCAAAGACCATTACTATGTTTTAAAATTCTTTCTTCTCCTTCTCCTGGCTGATCTGACAGCATACAAAAGACCTGGCACAGGCAAAAGACTGCAGCACCATCATGTTCCTGTCTCAGTGCTTGGTTTCTTCCTACCCTTTGGGTGTTCTTGGCCTTAAAAGTCAGTGGAAAGAGAAGAAGGTGGAATAAGCAGACCTTTGAAATCACAGGTGCTCCTGGCACAGGCTGCCTCCCGCTCTGTCTGCCAGGCCTATTGCTTTTCTCTCCCCTTGCCTTCCGCAGACAAGTTCCCTTCAGCCCCGTGCCGTGGTGCTTCTTTGGGTGCCCAGGGCCACCAGCAGCAGCGCTGCTGCATGTCACCATTTGGTTTTGTTGCCAGAGAGTCAAACAATTAAACATCATTTAATCCAACAAGAATCCAACATTTCTTGCTGGACTTAAGCATCTTTAAATATAACCTCTTAACCTTGCGCAGTCCTACAGTTGTTTGATTTTAAAGATCGTCATTTAGCCTTGGCTGGCTCCAGCCTTCTTGCTAGATCGTCCCCTCAGCTGCAGCCTGCACATATTAGTTTGCCAACACCTGAAGCTTCCATGGTTGTCTCTGGCTAGCTAATGTTTTCTCTTCCAGACCACTGTTTTTGGTTCCCTGGAGAGCTTCCCTCTTGCTCTTCCAGCAGCCAGCCTCCCACGCAGAGCCAGCACGCCTTCCTGGCTACCCCGGGCTGCTAGAACCACTGCCCTGAGGGGGAAGAGCTGGAGAGTCCGTGCTGAAGATTGCACTGTCACAATGGAGACAGACTGTTTTTGTTTTCTTCTTTCTTTTGGTAAATATAGGTGATTATTAAGAACACTACTTTGCAAAGATCGCTTATTAATAGTGACTTATTATTAGTTCCTGAGAACTTAACAGCTGTGCCGTGTTTGATTATTTCTAAGGGCAGCATCAACTAGGGACTCCAGAGTAGTTCCCGTACCAAATCCGCCGGCTCAGCTCGTGTCGTGTTCCTGTTTGTGACAGCAGCTGGTAGCAGAGCTTTCACAGGAAAGCATCAGAAGCCCTGTAATTACATGATCCCCTGCAGCATTTGTATTCTCAGAAAGTTTGGCCTTTTCCCCAACTTTTAGAATTTGGTTTATGCAGTGAGATATGAGGACCTCTCATCCAAAAGGTATTTAATGGATTGCCACATTCACAATTGTAAATCTCAGTCCGTATGTTTGTACAGATTACTTTACTTTCTGGAAGAAAAAGCTACGCTAGGCACAACAATTCGTGTGACAACAGGCTTTTAGCTAACTTGGACTGAGCAACACGTCTTTATCCATAAATCTTGATTTTTAGTTGAGACTGGAGAATTGCTGTCCTTGTACTTCCTCTGCTCCTGACTTAATTGCAGTCTTAAGACAGAAGAACTTGGTGATGGCAGGAGCATCTTTCTGCCTGGCATGAACTTGGAAAAGGAGCGAGCCAGATCTGCGAGGGAGGCAGTGGTGCAGCAGGGCATCGTGGTGCAAGGCAGGGAACTACAGCTGGAGAGGGCTGATCTCATGGGACCAGCTGGCCTGGGGTACCTGGGCTGATCTCATGGATTCTTGTGGCTGCTTGATGTAGCAGGAGAGTACTGAGCACCTTCATAACTTAATTTCTCACCTACATGTATGCAAGCATATCTGGATCAGCAGGGAAGGGGAGCACTCTTCTTTAGGCATACACCTGAGGTACCGTCAGATCAGTGAGTGTATCTGAGCCTGACAGGCTGCCAGCATCCCCCGTGTACGGAAAAGCTGCCGGATTGACTTTGCAAAGAACAGGGCTACTGGGTGTAATACAAGAGTGTGGTTAAAGTTCAGAACTGTATATACAGGTTTGCAAGGGGAGAGGGCCTGTGCTTTGCAGTCATACAACGTAGCGTCTCTGGTGTATTCTGGAAGGAGAAGGAGAAAAAAATCGTTCTAGTGTTAAACTCAATAAACAAAAAGATAGTGCATTTATCTTAAATAAAGAACAGTTGATTGCAAACGTTTCAGCTTGTTCTTAAATGAAGAATGTAAAAGATCCTAAAATTAAAAAAAAAAAGTCTTTGTATATGCAAAGCTGCTTAAGGTAGCTGAAATCATGGTGTTCAATCCACTCTGTTGTTCATGGGGCTTTTATGGTACCTTCTTCATACATCTGTGCTGTGCTCAGGTTATACAGCGGCTCGTATCCGTGTCAAATATTGCACAGTCTCAGCTGGAGGAGAAGGGAGAGCGACGTGTACACAGGTGCAGACAGCAGAGGAGCCTGCGGTGTGGCCGTGTCTCGGTGCAGGCTGAGGGCGAGGAGCCTGCGTGCCGGGGCTTCTCCCTGCGGTCCGGGAGGGCAGGCAGAGCCCGCCCGGGGTTGGCTCGGGACACTGGGCTTTGCTGGGGCAGCGATACAGCCTGGAGGCTCCCGGGTCTCGGATTCACTTCACAAACTGTATCCTCTCTTGGTGTAAAAGTTATCAGGATTTTGCAGTAATGTAAAGGAAATCTTTACGTCCCTAGGAATTTGGACAAGATGAGTGAGCAGCTTATTCTCATACTGAGCAGAAGCAGATTCATGAATAGTTTTTGCATTGCCATTTGTTTCCCTTTTTGTTAATGACTAACATCTTAAAATAAGCAGTGCCAGGCTATGTATGTACAATTAACAGAAAATTGGTCCCTGTCCCAAAGCGTGTATCTTGTGAACCAGGAAGTAAGCCCTCGCTATTTCAGCAAAATCACTGTACCGTGACCATCGGGCAAGTTACTGACTGGCACTTAAAAGCTCGCATGCATCTGAGCCTGTGGGCAGGTAGTAAAACTGTAGTAGAGATTCTTTTAGTGGGTGCGTGTTGGTGTCCTGTGATCTGGGAGCAGCGGCAGGCGCCAAGGACGGCGGATCTGTCTGCGTGAGGAGCGGTGCCGCTGCTGCAGGGTGCCAGGGAAGTGGCTGAAGTCTGGGAAGGCTGGAGCCCCATCCCGGGTCCTGCTCCAGTGCCCGGGGCCGGCAGGCAGGGCCCTGGCCACGATGCCCTGGCCACGACACCCTGCGGGTGGGTGCAGGAGGGCTGGGGCACGGCGGCTGCGATAGAGCAGTGCCTGACCCTGGGGCGTCCTTGTGGGGCGCAGGGCTGTTTCTGTGCTGCGCTTCCTCACCGCAGCCCTTAGCAGGAGAGGCTTGACCTTTTTAAAGATTTTGAGCTATTATCATTCCAAAAATGCTGTAGTTTAGACTAGGGAGGCGAGATAGGGAGGGAGCAGGAGCCGATGCACGGGCAGGGCAGGACGGCTGTGTGGATGCTCCCAGGGGCAGCCTGGCGCCCCTGGCCAGAGACCAAGCTGGGGCTGTGAGCTGGGCTGGGGGCTCCCTGCAAGTCCCAGCCCCGGACGTGTCACACACGTGGGAGTTTTGACAGGCGCTGGGACATCCTAGTGTTAGACGTTGTCATGAGACAGGAATCCTTCAGTGAAACTGGGGGGGAAGGAGATAAAAATCAGCTTAAGACTCTCCATGCCAACGCCTCAGAAAGTAGAGCATCCATTCTTGTTTGATCTACGCTCATAAAGAGGTCAAGTGGGAAGAGGATGGCCTCAGCACCTGTTTGCCATAGCTCAAAAATAACTCCAAGTAACCCACTTCCAGCTGAAGTTGCGTATTACTCATCCTCCTCAATGAACTGCTGAAAGGGAGGATGGTGCTTGTGTTTTGTGGGATTCTGTGTAATCTCTGCTTCTGAGGCCTTTCTAAGTGTCCTTAGCACTGATAATGAGCAAGGGGGGGAATAAGGAGAGGTGCTGATGAGAATGGTATTGAAATTGTTTAGCGAGGCATCACGTGCTGTAGGTAAAGCACACTCACCCCATTATGTCTGCAGTCTTAACAGCTAAGGCACTGGGGATGGTTTAATCAGGTTTGAATGGGGACAGTTCGCAGACGTTCACGTGCGGTGTTGTTTCAGACCTTTGGCATAGCCCTAAGTGCACGCTGGTGAAAGGAGTTTGTTGTGACACCGAGCCTTATAATGACTTTTATGTAAGGCTGTGATTACAGGCTGCAGGTACAACCTTGCAGATGGAGGTCAGTAGTGCTAGCCAGGAGACACAGACAGGCAATGGCACAAGTCAGGGGGCAGGGAAGGAGCGGGGGGACTGTCTGTGGGCTCCGCCATCACCATGAGTGCAGAAAACAAAGGGTTCTTTGGAATGCGGAGAGCAATGGTGAAGCAACAAGTGATGCCAACAAGTGTTATGACTGTTGTGTTAGAATAATAATGGTGAAACTCGATGTGCACTGCTTTCCTATTTAGTATAGTTTTAAAGAAAGGCGTACAGCTCTATTATATACCGAGACTGTTTGAGTTTGGCATGGTATGAAGAACATCAGACAAATCTTGATCCAGTGAATGTGTTTAGACTTGATAAGAAAACAAATTATGAGTCAAGAAGGAAAGTTCTTTCTTGGCATGTGTAGCAAACGAGGCAGTAAAGAAAGTGAGATGAAATCTGGATCTCTAAAAGCTGTTCTCTAAGCAAATGGAAAGGTGAATCTAAGATACAGTTAGGCTCACAGTAAGTAATTTCCTCTGAAGTCTCTGTGAGCACCCCTAAATGTGCTGCTGTACGAGATCTCACTAACCAGCAGGCAACAAGCCTGGTTAGCATTACTGAGTGGCACCAAAGAAATAATTCAGCCCCAAAAAGCACTGTGAAGGGAATCGTGGCTGTAGAGGGAAAGCCGCTGTCTGGGAACTAGATTCTGCAGATTACAAAGATGTGTAACGCAGGAGTATCCAAGCAGCTCAACGGGGTGAGCTGCAGTGTTTTGAAAGCTTTCTGGGGGAAAAACAGCTGTTGTTACAGCAAAGAGCCAAGCAATAGGTGAACAACATTCAAAAAATATAAGAATGAAGCTATCCATACCTTGGTTTCTTGGTTATGCTTCATTACTTTTTAATTATTATTTATTGACTACCTCTGCTGTGCTGCACGGTACAGAGCAATTTTTCTCCTCTAAAAAACAGCCTCTGAAATGTGCACATGAAGAGGTATGGTGACATCGCTCATACAAAGCTTGTATAGCTGGCAATGAACTCCTTTTGCAGCAGCAGATGAACAACTGTGTTGTTTTTTTTTCCAAAGGATATCAACTTCCAACATAAATTTTTTCTGCTGGGGGCTGACCTGGGAAGTCAGCACTGATGTGGTTTGTTTCTTTTAATTTTTTTTTCTTTTATTTTTTTTCTTTCTCTCTCTTTTTTTTTTTTTTTTGTCTTCCTTGGCCAGAAGGCAGTTCCAGCTGTCCAGAAGTTTGCTGCAGGCAGTACTTTATGCCTTCAGGGCAGCAAGCCTTTCTGCATGCAGTGAGCGGGGCAGGGGGCGCAGGGCGTGCTCACTGTCTGCTGGCCCCGAGCAACCCCAGCAGCCCAGGAGGAGCCACCTCCGAGTTCCGTGTGCTGGCCTTCAGCCTCCACACTGGGGGCTGCTGAACTGTGAAACAAGAAAGGTGATTTTTGGAAAAATATCCCCAAATTAAGGTGGAAACATGAACTGCAGCAGTTCTGCTGGCTGCAGTGGGAAGCTGGTGGATGTTGAGTGATGCCGAGAAAACAAGAACCCATTTCTGCTTGTGAATCTGCTCTGATTGGTACCCCCCACCCATCACTATTTCCTCTGATGTTTCTAGGTAAGCAGAAATACCTGTGTGCCAGCCGGAATGACTGCACCATTGACAAATTCAGAAGGAAAAACTGCCCGTCCTGCCGCCTGCGAAAATGCTACGAAGCGGGGATGACTCTCGGAGGTACTGTATGGATAACAGCTTCTGGTTTCTCACCACGTGTGCGGGGCATCCAGGCTAATTGTGCAGATCACTGATGTACTTGGCACATTAACAGTCAGTAAATGTGTGAAGAAATGAGGCTGATGGAGCGTAATGAGATTCTGGAAACATATGCAAGCTTCTAATACCAAAATTGTGAATTTCATTGAACTTGTCTTTCCATTTCAGGAAGCATCCTTTTCCTTGATTTAAAACCTTGCTAATCTGAAAAAATGCATTGACAGCTGTGTAAACTGGATTCTCAGTTGTATCGAAGCCTCTTTGAACAGCTCACTCCCATTTTAAGATGATTTTTCAGAGGCAGAATTAGACAAAGGCACATTTTTTTTCTTTATAAAAATACAGCCCCAGCATTCTTCTCTACATAGGTGTTGCTTCTTTGTCACCAGTAAAAATCATTATTATAGTTTGTTCCAAAACATGTAGCTTTACCAAAACCTGACACAAAGCCTACATCCAAAATCTGAGGCTTTCTGCTCGAAACCTAGAAGCTGCAATCTAGGTTGAGCCAAACTATTCTTGCGTTCATACAAGCAGGGCTATTTTGCTGCCTGAAATGTGCTGGACCTGCCTTTCTTCCTTTCTACCTCAAAAGCAGACAGAATTTTAGCATACCATAATTTATGAGTACCACTGGATGGCTCATCTTTGAGTTCATTTGATGTGAGTGAGAAAGAAAATCCCCTGAAAAACGGGGCTGGTGGAGCTGACCTACCACCAAAAGGCCTCTGACAGCAGAGCTTGGGGGAGTCACCGCAGGGCTTGGGTTGGGAGGGACCTTGAAGATCATCCATGATCATGATCCAGCCTGCCATGAGCACGGCTTGTGCCATGGGATTAGGAACATGTGAGAGCCCCTGGCAGCATCATTCACGGCGTGGAGAGCTGGGGAGCACCTGGCTGGATAAGTCAGCTTTTTGGGTTAAATGCTTCCACTGGCTGCTGGGGTGTGCAGTACCGCACAGAGCTGCTAGGCTGCTCTAATGTAAGCTTGAAGAACGTGCTGCTGAACAGGTTGTGGTTTATTGCTCAGCTAGGAGCACTGATTCCAGTTTTATTTCTTCCCCAGGAGGGCTCTTACAGCTCCAGGTACTGACAAGTACTTACAGCCAGCAGAGCAGGAACCTGCCTGCTCTTACAGCAGCGGGCAATAAATCGGATCGAACGATGGCAGCACAGCTCCTGGCAGGAGGGGCAGGTGCAGACGTGCAGCGCTCTCATTCCCTCCTGCTCACAGGCACTAAAAGCGAATGCCAACATCTGGTGGGGTGGCTTTTCGCTGCTGCTGCTTCCCCTGCGCCCTTGCAGGCTGCTGCAGTGGCACAGCTGGATTTTGGAGCAGAGAAATCCCCCTTGAAGTCAGAGGGGATGTACATCAGTGCAGCCTTCCTCTGTGGGGCACACTGACAAGACGAATGCTAGGACTGAGAGCCCCCCCCCCTCGTTGTTTTTTTTTTTTCTTTTTTTTTTTTTTTCCTTAAGCTTTTCGGGTCGCCTTGACCTGTTCTGCCTGGTCTGTTTTACATTTGTTTTGAATGTTGGTTTAAAGGCGATTGTTAAAAACATGCATGCTATGAGTTTGTCCACAGTTATTTCTCCCACAGTAGAAAGCCACAGCATTTGAAAACACTTCCAAGCTCCAAATGGTTGGTTTTAACCGCCTGTTAATTACCAGTCACTCGTAGGGTATAATGGAGCTGACCGTTACCAGCATCCCTGCGGCTCTGCCTGTTTTAATGGTAGGAGGAGGTTACGCTCAGTGCCTTATTTAGGACTGTCTGCTTAGGCACAGAATGGCAATATTTTGAAGCACTTCATTATTGATTGAGATCACTCTGACCTGAAAACTGAAATCCATTAAACAGAATCTTCTCTCCCGATCAACGCTGTAAAGCCAAAGAGAGGGAAAAAGTTAAAAGTAAAAAAAAAATAAAAAAGTGATAATGCCAGTTTCATTTGCTCATTTCGACTGGTGCACTGCTCTCCGTCTCCCCCATCACCTCTCCGTGCTGCAGTCCCAGACACCTGCGTGGTTTCACGGCTTTGTTGCAGCCCAAGCACCCAGTGCCCGTGCTGCTGCACACTCAGGCATCTGCACACCTCTGTCCTGTTCCACCCCTGCTCACCCAGCCAGGACCACGTGCACAGAGCTGCAGAGCTCTGTTTTTAAGGCACCTCCTGTTCGTTTGCTGCCAGTGCATTTCAGCCTTGGCGTGCAAGGTCCCGCGGGCTGTTTCTGTTCTGAGAAGGGAGCACGTCTGCCCTCGGCCGTGCTCACAGCAAGGCTCAGCAAGGCTGTTGGGCAGCACAGCCAACACCTCTGCCTTTGGCCTCAGGACTGCGCTTGGCGTTGTTCCTGTCTTGGGCAAAAACTCCCACACACGTAAAATTCAGTTCACTGATTGCAGGGCTAGAAGACTGTTGCAATTAATACCTCTCGATACCCTGTAAAACACGAGTCATGCCTGTATTTAGTTCTAATTCAGGTCAAGTTACTGCACTTAAAGTGCAGTTCATATCTTTTAAAAACACTAAATACAGATGTATTAATTCCCTGCAATGGAGATGCTGACACATTTTTTCCAAGCTGTCACAGTGGTTAATTACGTTTGCTGCTGTGATAGATGTTCCTTATTTTTCATCTTGTCTGTCCTTGATTTCCAGGAGCTGTATCTTTATTGCAAGTATGCTTGCATGAATAAAGAAACTACTTTTATTGAATTTCTGCTCCCTGCATTGAGTATTTGTTGGCTGTGATTTAATAACCCTTTAGTCTTCTTCATAGCCACCTAGATAAATTTTTTTTACTTCCTCACTCCTGAGAGTATTATCTAGTTTTGTTATTCCTATGACTTCTGCAGTTTAGCAACACTTCCCCTGTATGGTGAACATCTGATCACAGTTTCCCAGTTTCAGCAGCATCAGTGCTTAAAAGCAGTAGCAAGATGCCCTTCGTGTCAACATTTTCCTCCTTTACTGATGGGGGATCCCTGTTATTCTGTAGCCGCTGAACCATGCAGCCAGCTCGGACTTTTTCCCCCAAAGAAGGAAATACTGGTATCTTGACAGGATCTGGTTTTGGCAAGATATATATATTGACTGATGCCATTTTGCCCAAAGCTGACATCAGGCTGAAATGCTCAGCCCCGAATTGATGAGATTTCTTTGTCATGTCTTATGGAAAAGTGTTTCCTTCCAGTTCCTCAGAACTTCCCAGAGTCCCTTGTGAAGGATCAGTACTGGCAACTCAGAGATCCTTGGCCAATTCTTTGAAACTCCTGGATGAAAGTTGGCCAAGTTATGTTGCTTAAAATGTGTTTACCTTCTATAATTGCTGTATAATGGACTCCCTGGTCATTTTTGCAATTATGAATATTTTATCGTGATATAATTACATCATCTAGGCTTTTTTTTTTTCTTTCCAAATATATAAAATTCATTCAAAGTGAAAAATTAAGCAGAATTTCAGATGCAATGCATGTGTGACTTACTGTGCGAATAACCTGCATGATGAGGCTTCCTGACTGTTATATGCCCTGGTAAGAGCAAAGCAGGTAAACTTTGTGCTTTCAGTCCTGTGCTGGGGTTCAACCCACCTTAGTGTAGAGACTTCTGCCTAGCTTGGCTCATCCTCGAATAAAAGTGTAACAGATGTCTTTAATGAGGAAATTAATTCTAAGTATCTGTTTCTGCCCAGCGTTATCCAGGGAGTCTAGCTAATGAGCACTGTAGATTTCTAAAATTAAGAGAGGTGAATGCCATATTAGATGTTTGTAATGCTTTCAGAATATTTCAGAAACGTATTGAAAGAGACAGCTTTTCCCTCTATTCCTCTATTTCCTGTATTTTCCATTTTTATTTCTAGTAGCGACTGTGTAGTAGCTACTAGCAAAACAGGCGAAACAAAATTAAGACAAAAGTGTGTGTATATATATATATAAAAGCTGTGTGTGTTAGGAGGTTCAGATACCTGCCTGGATCCCAAGATTTTTAGATTAAAAGTAAGTGAGGATTCCAGTAAGGCCATTTCAGGAGCTGAATTTCAGGGTACAACTGAGTACAGCAGTTAAACAACCTAGAGAAATCCTACCATAAGCCATAGATTTTCGAATCTATATAAAGTTACTCTTTACCCCTGAAGCTTCTCCCCTTGTAGCACTCTATCTAGAAGTATTTCAGCGATCCATGGAAAAATTGCTCCTGAAATACACAAACATAAGTTTCCTCTGATAAGAATAGTTATTATCCAACTTCAGTGCTATCTGATGGAAAGTGGTTTTGTTTACGACTGCAGTCTCTGAGCCAGCATGGTTATTTGTTCTTTTCTTATTTCACTCAATATCTTTAGATTTTAGAGAATTAATTCAATTCAATTCAAAAAAAAACACAAAAAAAATGAAAAAAGAAAAAGAAAAAGATTGTAACATTTAAACCAGGATATATGTGTTTACAGGTTTGCAGTTTTGGCTTTATTTATGTTCAGGTCCTTATTGGCACGATTATTCATCTTTGGAAGATACGGTTAGCTTGTTTTTATTTATTTATTTATGTATGTATTTTCCCAAGCCAGGTAGCTTATATTTCCCACCAGCACTCCCGTCATTAAAAGTCCAGTGCCAAGTACATCTATAAGATGTGGTTTTTCCTCACATGGAGTTTGTCCTGATGCCTCTATCCTTTGCTAACAGGAGGTGGTTTAGGAACAGGGGGCCAGCGTATTGTGCTGGTGCATTTCCATGTTGCTTGTCCAAAACAAAAGCCAAATGCAGCCCTCAGGACAGCTGTGCCATACCTTTCCCAGGCGATCTGCTGTCAGAGCAGAGTTCGAAAGGAGAGCATCAGGAGTCAGTTCTTTGCACTATCAGAGATGCTTGGAGAAGTGAGAGGAGAGGCTCTGATTTTCTGTCTGGCCTGCGATCCATGCAAGTAAATGCAGAACTACATCACACTGCATTGTAGCCTTGTTTTCCTGTTGCTCTCTTTTATTTTTATTACTGCTTTCTTCTCCTTTTTTTTTTTTTTTTTTTTTTTTTTCAGAGCAGCCTGTCTTAATTACAGTAGATCATCCAAAGTGCATTACCTAAAGATCAGGATTTTGAATTGATTTACAAAGCTGCTCTTTAACTTGACATTTTTATGTTTCACTGCTTATTTTTCTAATTACGGCTGAAAGGAAATCTGAGATAAGTATCATGTAATGTGGGAGCCAAAACCCCAAGGACAATTGGTTTGATGTTATATTCTCTGCTTGAATTAAGCGATCAGCTTTTTTTGCTCTAATTAATTAGAGTTTTTTGTAGTCAGTGAGGTATGAAAGCAGTTCCTTTCTGCAGCAGCCTGCCAACCTGTGTTGTGCTGAACACAGTCATGTAGATACCAAATTAGATAACCACTAACTCTCCAAGAATTTTGAAGTCATGCATCTGAAGCTCCTGGTATACCTTGCAGGGAGATTGGCTTTTATAATTAAGAGTCAGCTGCACGTCAAGAGAGAGACTTCGTTATGGTGACAAGGGCACATGTCCATGTTGGGCAGTCCCGGCCCCGCAGGCTCACTGTACTGATGTTCCTTTTGATGCTGGCCAGCGGACCAAGGCTGCCCTCACTTGAGACTTCTCCTCTGCGGAGGGCTAGCTGGGAAAACTCCAGGGAAGCAGCTGTGGAGACACGGGCTTGCCTTTAGGTTGCTTTTTCCCTAATGTGTTGGTGGAGCAGTAGTCCAGCTGGGAGTGCTTGGCTCAGGGCAGTACGTGCTGCAGGAATCCCCTGCAGGGAGAACTCGCTGCCCAGAAGAGACCTTCCCACTCCTGCAGTGAGTCTGTAAAAGTGGTTTTGTAGGGTGAAAGCCATCGCTATGTGGAGAGTGCCCTGGCCCTTGGGGCTGGGGTGTACATGTCCCAGCTGCCTGAACTTGGCCATGGGGTGGAACGATCCAACTTAGAGTACTTAAGTACATTGGCTTTTTTCCCCAGAATGTGACCACATACTGAGTTTATTTGCTTGGTTTCCTTCCCTTTTTAACTGCATGTGAGTAGTTGTTGGAACCAATTTGCCTCTTCTCTTTTCCCCAGTTCTTCCTCTCCATTTCTAACTGGGACTTAATGTGAGACCAGTGATGGCTGAGGGTGTAAATGATGCTTGTTTTTTCCATATAATATTAACGAACAAATGTATTTCCTTGAGCATTGTATACTCCCTTTTGTCCTTTAATGATGCCTGTGATGCTAGGGCACTCGCTAGGCTGCATGCACCACCTGTGTCACTGCTGCTGGTCACCATTCTCAATTTTGTCGTAAGCCAAGAAGCCTCAAGGCTTTTTTGATAAGTGTCATACTAAAATGTGTCATTTCCACAGCCCGCAAGCTCAAGAAGCTGGGTAACCTGAAGACACCAGATGATGCCGAGGCAGCCAGTTCCTCCAGCCCCACGGAGGAGCAGGCTCCCAAGATGGTGATGACGCACATTGATGGGTTTGAGTGCCAGCCCATCTTCCTCAACGTCCTGGAAGCCATCGAGCCAGCTGTGGTGTGTGCTGGCCATGACAACAGCCAGCCTGACTCCTTCTCCAACCTGCTGACCAGCCTGAACGAGCTGGGGGAGAGGCAGCTGGTCTACGTTGTAAAGTGGGCAAAGGCCTTGCCAGGTGAGGATGAAAATGAACAAACCCCAGTCCTGTCCTGTCACGTTCCCCAAAGCCCCCCCATTTGCATTCCCTGAAGGTGGGTTTCAAAGCAGGTGGTCTGCAGCCTGCATCTCACAATCACAAAATTTCCCGGGGGAGCACTTCCACGAGGTGTCTGTCTGTAACTTCTCTGTAAATCAGATTGAAACAACACGAGGTCTGTCTCCTTTTGGGGGCTGGTTTCTTCCCACTGTGTGTGAGGGATCCTGGTAGAAATTCAAGGTTTTTTTTCTTTCCGTTCTCCTGCAGTGGTTTTGTTCCACTTCCAGAGCTGTTACAGGCCAAGCCTGGAGAACGCTTCTCTAAACAAGAGATTAGCACTGTCCCGTAGCTTCCATGAGCTAGAGGAAAGCGTACCTTCTCCAGGTGATCCAGAAGCACGCTGCTTCATGAAGTGGCAGTGGAATTGGGGAAACTGCTGAAAGTAGCTGAGGGTCAGGTCTGAGTTCCTGCAGAGCTTGGTCTCAGTATGCAGGCAGCTCAGCAGAAGTTTACATTTAACTGGGTATCTCCTCTGAGGAAACTGTCTGGTTCCTCTTGGGACCCTGGAGGTCAGGACCTCACTTGGGCACCTGTGGAGACCGTTGGGGAATCTAGGATCAGGTTTATTCCAAAAGAAAGCTCCCATTTTAGAGCTCCTGTTATAAACTGGTCTTACCAGCCCAACCAATCTGTCTTAAGACGTGGAAACCCAAAGGGAATCTCCCTTTGTTTGAGAAGCCTTTAGCACAATTCTCAGTCTTCTGAGAGCAAAGCCAACACGAGTAAGGCAATAAAATACAAGAGCTCTCAACATGGATCAGCCATCCTTCACATGCTGGTGGGTTTCCAGCCCATCTCTTGCTTCCTGGGCAACATTTTTGGCCTTTAATTCTGGTTATTTCGGTGCAGGTGTAGCCACAGCCTGGGGTACCATTTTTGTCCTCACAGTCTCACTAGACTGACTTATTCCTCTGGAAACCACGCTTGCCTTTCCAAGGTCTCTTGCCTCTGGAACACAGCAACCCGACATGTTTTCTAGAGGCTCATCTTCCCTCCACACCGAGAGCTCTGTACTGAGACAGGATCACCTGCCGTGTCCTCTGAGAACAGCCCCGCTTCCTTTATTCTGATGTTCCTCACCAGAATCGGGGTCTTCAGCACAGGCGGCTCCCAGCTCGCCAGCCTGTCCTCCCAAGACCTCTTGGTAGGCGTCAGTGACTCAAAGACCTCTGAATTTTGTGGAAGGAAAGAAAAAGGCTACAGAGGGCCCCAGCAGCTGCCTGCAGCCACACAAACTGCCCGGCTGAATCACCTGGGAAAGTTCACTCATCTCATGTGAGTGCTCACCTGCTCTCTGGGAAGCCAAAGGGTGGCCACAGCCGCCTCCGTGGGCACCAGCATTGCTTACGGAGCCCGGGCTTCCTTGGCCGGTCTGTCAGAGCTCGAAATGGGAGTGCTGTGGTTTGGGTTGCTCTCTTGTCCACCGCACCCCCCAGCTGTGTCTGCCATCCATAAAAGCTGTTGACAAGTGTGAAGAGATGCCTCCTGCGTGCCAGCGTGGATGGAGCCTGCAGAGCTTGCTGCTGATGGGAACACGGCGTCACCATCAGCTGCGCTGTGCCCGGAGCAAGAGGCAACGCCGGTTTGTTTTCCCCAGCTTTCTCCCTGTAGTTGTGTGACATATGCCAACATGGAGTTTAACAGTAACAACGACAAATTCACCACTTAGTCATTCTCTTGATATTTTCAAGGGAAGGAGTAAACAACTGCAGCATTGTTGCTGTTCTGTGCTTCGGGCTGTGGTTACGCAGCCCCTTTGCTCAAGCCGTGACCCAGCTGTTGCTGCGGCGAGGTTGCACACCCGCTGCTGGTGGCTGCACACCCGCTGCTGGTGGCTGCACACCCGCTGCTGGTGGCTGCACACCCGCTGCTGGCAGCGCTGCCTTCTGCCACGTGCTGCTGCTCAGGGCAGCCCCGATGCCTGTCAGACCTGCAGTGTCCTGCTGGATAGCCACGGGCAGTTTGCTGGCTGGAATCGCTTGAAGTTACGCTTTGACTAACAGTGCAGAAGTGTTTCCAGCTCTTGGGGCTGCCGGTCGGCGAGGCAGCTGGACGCAGGGCAGATGGAGGGGACAGCGATGTGCTGGAAACAATGCAGGGGGAGAAGTAATGGAAACAGAGCCCAGGCAATTTAAAACAGCGGGGTGTTGCTGTGTTTACCAAAACAAAAAGATGTGCACTTGGCCTGCTGGGAGGCCAGAGGCTTCTAATGAGTGCTGTTGGAGGAGAGGTGCCACGGGTGGCCGCAGAGCTTTCTGGAGCCGCTCTGCCCAGTGTGGCTGGTGCCGCAGGAGCAGAGCCCGAGGCCGAGGGCAGCTCCTCCCTGCAGGCAGCCCTGGTGCCCCATGGGCACTCCTGGCTCTGCCTCTGTGCCTGTGGGCAGCCCTGGGCACACAGCATCTGCCCACCGGAGCCCCCAAACGCAGCCCAGCTGGCACCAGCGTGGCCCTAACTAAGCCTGAGCAGCTCTGCTTGGCAGGTGAGGGACTTCTCCCTGTAAAGGTGCAGAGATTTTGCTTTACAGTGACTGCTGCTGATGGGAGGAATGAGAATTTGCACCAGTTAGCAGAGGCAGCGTCAGCCTGATACTGCAGTCAACAGATTGATCCTGGCTAATAGATGTGTATTAACCTTGCATCTTCATTGAACCTCACCTGTGTACCGAGGGTGATTAATATGCGGCAAGGCATTGCTGCACTTACTTCACAAAGTTTTAATAATTTCCTTGAGTGTCAGCGACAAGACTGCATTGAGCAGGAACATTTCTGAATCATGCTTGCAATGTCAGTAGCCGTATCAGCCTCTGCCTAGTGGAGAAAATTTAATGCATGGCCCTTTGGACGCAGTGTAATTGAATGTCTGCAGCAGAACAAGGTAGACTCAGACTGTGCTTTCCCTGGAAAGGAAAGATTAAATGACCATAGCTTGCCAAGAAAGCTACTGAAATACAGAATTCAAAAGTCTGATTAAATTCGTAAAATCTGTATTTTCTCTTATTTTCTCTTTTCCCTATATATATAAAAATTAAGTCAAGATGTTATGGTTAATTTAGGTCAGCACTCAAACACATTAGTTTAAAAATCTTTTCAGCTGTTAGAAAATGAAAAATTTTCAGTTCATTCCTGAAGCTGCTAGGAAATCAGTCTATAAAAAATAATTGGTCTGCAAGTGTATGGGGAATGTCTGCTTCACAGCAGACCAGCAAAAGGGCAAGCTGCTGCTCTCTGCAAATGAGACAGATGAATGCACTTCATGTCTCTAGCACCTCGATGCACATGTTATCAGGTGAAATATGCCACCTGACAGGCAGTATCATTGTAGATACTCCTGTTTATTGCATCTTTTACAAATTTCTGAGTAATTGCTGTTTAAGTTAGGGCTTTTTGGGTATTCCAGGCCCGTTGCTTGCTTGCCTTTCTGTTTCAGATCTCCTGCCTTATGTTACATGTAACTCACCCTGTAATTATAAAGATGCAATTAATTGTGTCTTCTTCCATTCTCTGGACAATAAAATTTCCAGGATAATAAATAAGTATTCATTTTTATTGAAATGTTACTTTATGGTAACATATGAGGTGTTCAGCTGCTTATCTCTTAGTGAGATATTATTATGACACAGCACTATATCAACAGAGAAGATAAAAACTTTATTTCTAAACTTTGCTGCTTTAAGATTGTTCACAAGAAAAAGGTTACGCTTTCATCTCACTCAAGACATCAGTAAATTTAATTTTTTTTTTGCTATGATTGCTCTCCACAGAAGTTACCATCAGTCAGGTGTCCTTTACTATGGCAGTACTGGAAACTTAGCAATATATTATGGCAGTAGATTTGTATTTATTTTCTTTTGCAGTGATTTTGACCACACGTCATCTAAGACGCCTGAAAGCAGTAGGCTTCCAAGAGGTGATAGGTATCTGGCTTCTGAAAACAAGTTTTATTTCAAGGTGTTCTAGACTGGAAACTGAAAGTGGTGATTCCTTTTAGAAAAGTCTACTGCGCTGCTTGTACAAGCTGTTTTCTTGTACACGTGGAAGCAAATTCTAAGTCCTATAGCAACAAAACTGTTGTGTTCAAATACCTTTCTTTAGACACCGATAGAGTTTGTGCAAATATTTTTTTTAGTGAACATTATAATTACAAGGTAGTGAATAAGTGCACCAAAATCCTTCTCATCGCAAAAGGAGTAGATGCAACAAATACTTTCAACAAATATGTTGAGAAGCCAGTACTCAATGTTTAGGAGAAACCCAAGCTGAGTCTATAAATAAGAACTGAAACCTGCAGAGCCTTTTTTGATCAGTTGGTTTGCACCTGTACTGTACAACTTGCTAAATGCACGCCGAGCTTACAACATCGCGCGTGGGTTAAGCTGAGTGACGAGTTCTGCCATGGATATTGGTGTTGCAACTGCTTTGTCCTGCTGATGCTGCACCCAGCAGAAATGGGGGTCCCGTGGGCTCAGGCCCCTGAAGCATCACAGAGCCCGGCTCCTGCGAACACAAGTCCCTGGTGATGGCCGTGGGCTGCCCTGCTCCCAGCGGATGGCTCCTGGAGCAGGGGGCTCGGGAAGGTTCGGCACGCAGCAGCCCCCTTCTCGTGGGAAGCGTGTTGCCATGGTCTTGTCTGTTCAAAAGGACCAAGAGCATGAGCTGCCCATCGCAGCAAGCCCGCATTGGCCGGAGGAGCTCAGCATCTGCTCCTCATGTTCGCCACACTGCATCGGAAACACCTGCCGGCAAAGCTCCTTCCTTTGTCTATTAATTCCTCTGAGAGACGAGATGCTTTTCCTTCAAAGAGCAAGTTAAGAAGGGAGAAAAAAAAGTACTGATTTTGGAAGAAGCTGAGTGCAGAGCAGACCAACGAGATGTTTACTCTCATCACCGGAGTGACAGTGCAGGAGTGTTCCCTGCACCATCACTCGTCTTACTCACCGCAGAGTTACAGCCCTGGGGACCAGCAGGATGGCTCCTTTCCAAGTAACTCAAGTTTTCCAGTCTTCTCAGAAAGTCTAGGCAGGAAAAAATATCAGAAGCAAGTATGGAGTAGGGGAAAACAGTTGTTTTCTTACATTTAGTAGGCAGTGAATTCATCTCTGAACAGATTTACTAGATAAGTAAGAAGTTGTTTTGTTATTTTTGGTTGTTAGGTTGTTGTTTGTTTTTAATAGCATGCAGTACCGTAAGTAAAAATGAAATTCCAACCAGGACATGTCCTAGAGATGACCATGACTAATTCTGCAAAGTCTTTGAGTTGTCCATGTGCCTCATCTGTGCTTGTGTTCTGCAAACAGGCTCCGCTCTGGCTGCCTGTAAGCTGTCATTGTCGGCAGGCAGCGACGAGCCCTCAGAATGGAAATCACCTGCTCAGGGTCCGTAGGACACTCCTTGCCCACTCGCTGGTAGCTTTTCGTGGTGACATGGAAGCTGAAGGGAAAATGTACAAACCTAAGTGATTTCTGTCAGCAATGAAAGACGACTTGTGCTCATTTGCAGTTGACAGCTTCCCAAGCAAGAGACAGATGCTTGCCTCAGTGGATTGTAATTATACACTGTGGGTTATAATTACACACTGACGGTGTTAGAATTGTTTTAATATTTGATTGGAATAACATGTGATTTTCTCAAAATGAGAAAATGTTGATTTCCTTGAGTGCCAGAATTTCACCCAAAGGATGTAATTGGTTAATGAAGGCTTGCTTCTGCCTCTGTGCCTGGAGACTTTGGTACGGTTGGCTGTATTGCTGTCTGGGGCTCCAGCTCGTGATCAGACGATCTATTTCAGGTAGCAGAACAAAGCAAATTGTCGCCGGATGTTTGTTTCATTTACTTTTGATGTTCTGTCTCACATGAAAATTGCAAATGGTTTGGAGCAGGAACTTTGGGATTTCCACTGTGGCTGCAGAGTGTGTGGCACAATGAGATGCCAGTTGGCTCTGATTTCTAATTAGCACCTAGAAATGAACATGATTGCAGCACTAAGCTGTTTCCGTTGGTAGGGGGACGTGCTTAGGGCTCTTATTTGAGCATAGGTTCTGTGGGACTTTAGGAAGTCACAATCCCACCCTCCTGTGTTGTTTTTGTCTAGCCTGTTGGAGAATGAGATTTGCTCATCTCACTGGGACTTACAAAGCCTTCAATTACAATTTCTGGAGTTCTTTGAGACTTCTGGGGAAAAGGTGTCATTTATTACAACTTGCTATGGGCTTCCTTTAAAATGCTTTACTGTTTGTGTCTTTAACGTGGTCTTTATCTCCTCCTTGTGTTTGGGGGATCCCCTTTCTCCCCTTTCAGGTGTAGTTTTGTGGTTTGGATGTTCCTGATTTCCCACCAGTGTCTGAGTGCCTCGATGCACCTCACTTGTATCACCCTGCTTCATTTGTGTGTCCTGGGACGAGCTGGGATCAGCCTGTGGACCACCGTGTCATTACAGGGTCGTTGCGGGAGAGTTGGAGTCTGCATGAAAACAGTCCTGGTAACTGCAGGAACACAATACTAATTTGTAACATCCCTCTGGCTTTTTTTTTTTTTTTTTAATAGGATTTCGTAATCTGCATGTGGATGACCAGATGTCAATAATCCAGTATTCTTGGATGGGTCTTATGGTTTTTGCTATGGGTTGGAGATCTTTCACTAATGTCAACTCCAGGATGCTTTATTTTGCTCCAGATTTGGTCTTCAATGAGTAAGTGCAAAATAACAACGGTCTAAAGTTCTGCTTTGTCTGAGTCAGACTAGGTGAGAAACGAGAACAAGGCAAGGAAGTTGCTTTACTGTTTGCTTATGAAATGTACAGCTGAGTAATCAGGCTTTGAGAGCTGACCAAAAAAGCATAGGAGGGGCCTGCTTTTTTCCTGTAATTGCTCTGCAGTAATCTGCAGGAATAATGAGAGTTGCAGTCTCTCCTATTCCTGCTTCCCTTTCCCTCAAGTTTGCCCTCAGCTGGACTTCCACCAGGGCAGCCACAGGTGCTGGTACGGGGTGTGAAGAGCTGGGCCACACAGACCTGAGGGATTTGAGTTCCAGTTTTCAATTTGCTCGGTCAGCCAGAGAGAGCAGAAACAGAGAGAAATGTATACTGCGAGCTCCTGATGATTTCTCTCTGATGCACCATCAGCGTGGACTTGGGGAGGTTTTACTGGGACTAAGGCAGAGAAGCTTTAAAACAATAACTAAGCACAGCAGTAAGCAAAAGCACTCCTCCTCCCTGAGAGCTCAGGGCTTGGCTTCGTGTCCCTTTTGGATAGCCGAATATGGTGAATCGATGCAGTCATTCTTCAAGAAGGCAGAGGGTCAAATGAACCTTGCAAATCCAAGATAGTCATCCATCTCCAGGCACAGGAGGTCACACGGAGGTATTTTGAAAAACTTTCCTCTCCTGTGTTCAACATTCGTTCATTGCTGTCAACATTCCCCCTCTGCAGTGGGGATGTTCCAGGCGAGGCTGGGTTTCTGGGCCAGGCAGAGCTTGTCAACACCCACACATCACACAAGCAGTTCTTTAGTCTTCCTGCCAATGCATTGTGCATCTTGTTGTGCCAGATACCGGATGCACAAATCCAGAATGTACAGCCAATGTGTCAGGATGCGGCACCTCTCTCAGGAGTTTGGCTGGCTTCAGATCACACCCCAGGAGTTTCTCTGTATGAAGGCTCTACTCTTCTTCAGTATTAGTAAGTACTCGCATCCGTCCTGCAGCAGATCACCAGCGGCTGTACGCAGCATTGCCCTGAAAGTGTCTGGTGTTTTTCCGTGTACATACACATGTACTCCTGCTCCCCAAGGGATGGCATTGGATCTTTCCTCGCGGCGTCAAGCTGTGCCGAGGCAGCGAGCTGCCAAGCGTAAGGACGCCGTGCCCTAACCCGCTGCAGCCGGCCCATCCTGCCCCTGCACATTGCAGCATTGCTCCCGTGCAGCTCCTGCACGAGGTGGCTCCTCAGCCCGTCTGCTGCCCCTCTGGGCACTGCTCAGCACTGGCTGCTGAGCAGGAAAATGGTGCTGCACCTCGGTCCTGTGCCTCCCTTCTGGCACAAGTGCTGAGCAAGGGTCCTTGGTTAGCAGCGGTCCCATGGCTGATCAGAGGGAGGGCAGATCTTTCCATTAGGCCTGTGTTAACCATTTCTTCAGCTTTCAAGTTGCTTATCTTTCTCTCTGTGCTTTCTGGGCAACTCTTACTGTTTCCTCTCCTTGTTCCATCCAGTTCCAGTGGATGGCCTGAAAAACCAGAAGCTCTTTGATGAACTTCGAATGAATTACATTAAGGAACTTGACCGGATCATCGCTTGCAAGAGGAAGAACCCTACCTCCTGCTCTCGGCGATTTTACCAGCTCACCAAGGTCCTGGACTCCGTGCATCCTGTAAGAGACAACAGTGAGATGTCTGCCTGTACACAGTCCAAAGTTACTAGATTTATTTGGGACATAGGAATTTGGGATCATAGCAAAGAGGGAATCTTGCTGATGCAGGAACGTTGGGACATGGTGGTACAGCCCTCAGAGACATGAACACTGTGCTCGCGATGTCTTACCTGTAATTGTTTCTTTAGTTTCTTTTGTTGTCATTTTTGTTCTGCTCCTCTCCCTCAGTGTTTTCACACACAGCCCTGGCTGTGTCCAGGTGCTTCTGTTGTTAAAAAGGGGACAAGTGGGCAGGAGACAGTGCAGATTCTGCCCACTGTCATGTCCCTGGAGCTGCTGAACAGGAATTGAGAGCATCAGCATGTGGGACCCAGGCGGTGTTTCAGTGAAGAAAGAGAGGAGTGAAATAATCTATGCTAAGACAAGCTTACTTATTACAGGTGCACCTTGCAAGTTTTCAGACTAGAAGCAGATTAGGTGCACGTAGGTTGTCAAAGCACTTGTGATGTGGTTTGCTTTGCAACTGTTAACACATTTGCAGGACAGTATTACAATATACTCCTAGAGTAGGCGACAGGAAAGAGGGCACCTAAGTGCTCAGGGAGTGAAAGGTGACAGTTAGCTGTGTCTGTCACTCCCTGCAATAGTCACCCTTGTGCAATGGGTCCTTGACCTTTCTTTTTTTAGCAATGAAGAGCTCTTTGTAGACAATTATTTTCCAATGATAGTCTAGCAAAACAGTCCTAAATCACAGTGCCCCTCCATGAATCTACTCTACTTTCAGAGTTAATTATAATAAATCAAAAAATCACTATTTGTGACTGAGAACTTAGGTCCTCTGTCCTTGCCAGCCCTCTGCCCATGTAGTTAGATGTCTGATACTTGCTGCCTGGTAACTGCCAGCAGGGCAGTGACATCCAGAGAGCAAACCAGGTCCAGCCCAGGTATGTTGTGTCTGCTGCCGTGTGCTCAGCACCTTCCCAGAGAAATCACTGAACAGGGGCTTTTTGCTTAACAGATTTTATTTCTTTCCTAGATTGCCAAGGATCTGCATCAGTTTACATTTGACCTTTTAATTAAGGCACATATGGTGAGCGTGGACTACCCCGAAATGATGGCCGAGATCATCTCTGTGCAGGTTCCAAAGATCCTGTCTGGAAAAGTCAAACCTATCTACTTCCACGCGGAGTGATCTTCCAGCGGGGACCTCCCTCTTCTGCCACCCCCATTTCAGCCATCTCCTGCCTATTGTTTCTGCACTACTGTACTGCAGTGCCTTGGGGAATCCCCTCTAAAGACGGTGTGCTGAGAAGACAGACAGTAGCAACTATCTGCTGGGATTCCTTAGATTTCTATTTTTCCTGTGGTACCTCTGAACTGAACTACCTGCCACGGCTTCTGCCTAGGTTTGGCTGGCTTGGTCTGCTGGGACACGTGGCGTGTGGCCTGGTGTCCCTGGCACGGTGTCTGCACTCTCTCCTTTGGCTTTTCCGCAGTGACTTCTAGTGGCCCATGGCCACGGGAGATTGGGAGAAATGCCACCAGTAGGTTGTTTTTGTTTCGTGTATTATTTTTTTTTTTTGTTGTGTTGTTTTTCTTTTTTTCCCCCTGTAAAACAAAACAAAGTGAGAAGCAGGTCGAACCTATACGTTTGGGCACGGGATATTTTACTGGCCTCCCTTGGGACATTCTATTTGTGTTATGGTGCTGGGAAGCAGACGAGTTAAAGTGTTGCAGTAGAGAAATGGAGTTAGAGGAAAGAGATGAATTAGCAAATTGTTGAATTTACAGACCCTGCCTCGGAGTCGGGGGGTGCCCTGCCCTCACACCACTGCAGGGGCTGCTGGTGGCTACTGCTTTCCACCTGGGATATTTTTCCTGAGGCAAACTGGATGTCCGTGTGCCCGGTGGACCCCTGGGCGCTCAGCAGTCACGTTCGGGTCGCGGACAGCTGCTGCCCCGCAGGCACAGCCCTACCCCTCCTTCACAAGTGCCTGACGCCTCTCGGACCTCAGCCTCTGCCCTCCTGCCGCCGGGCACCGCCAGTCCCGCCTGCCTCTGCCCCGCACCAGCTCTGTTCACGCCGGGTGTCCGAGGCCCAAGTGTTTCAGCTACACTACTTATTTTCCATTTGTCCAGACTCTTCTTTCTGACGCCAGCAGACCCACGTCCCAGGAGGGGAGCAGCCAGGACTGTCTCTGCAGGATCTGTGGCCTGTAATTAATCCTATCCCGTGGGAGATGGTTGCGGCAACAGGCATGGTATTTCCATGGCGCTTCAGGGAAGCGTAAAGAAAATGCTTGAGACCTTCTCTCTTCTTGAGGTGTGCGTGGCTCCTGCTGCTGTGGTAGCTGGCTGCAGGCACCTCCTGTGTGCACCGCCACGCCTCCGCGTCGTGCCTGGGCCGATGCAATGCGGGACGCAGCACGGCCTGTGCAGGTGGATAAACACACCCTAGAGAACCTGGGCATTCAGTGCAAAACCAGACAAATTCAAAGGTTAATAGGTCTGCAGTTGCCGATGGCTCCCAGTGGTCAGGAATATTTGAGGAAAGGAGGCTTGGTTTCTCAGACGTAGATGTTGGCTTGACTCCATTTTATCCCTCACATTCGCAGGAAAGTGCAGGCCCACCAGCCCACATCCAGATTTGCATTTTTGGCAGGCTCCACTTCTCACAAAGCAGTCAAACCTTCCCTCCCCTTGGTGTTTTGGTTCTCCCCTTCCCCGCGCTGGCGAGCCCACCGAAGCCGTGCTGCCAGCCCTGGCCGGTGAATCGGGGCAGGCTCTGGCCGGGCTGGCCTGCACTGCCTGCAGGCTCCTCACACGGACACAGATCAGCAGCAAACGAGGCCTTTGCCTGTGGTTTTGCTGACAGGCAGCGATTCCACCTCTGGGAGACTTGGTGCCCCCGAGCAGTGTGCTGTTGTGGTCTCCCAGCACAAACATGCAGAAAGGGCATGTTAAGTTTGGGAGTTCGGAGAGGTGGGCCTCCTTACAAATCACATTATTCCCCCTGCGCAATGCCAACGAGTCGTGTTTGTCAGACGTCTTTACAGAGAAGAGAGTTAGGTTTGGGACGGTTGATGCCATGTACATCTCCTGAGGCTGCCGTGCAGCAGCCAGTGCTAATTCTGCTCCTGGACCTTTCACGAGCTGAGCATAACCATCAGCTCTGCCGGCAAACGCCTTTGTGGTGCGTCTGGGTTCTCTGCAGACTCTCACTAAGAACAAGCCTTTAATTTTACTGATATTCCTCAGTCCTGCTATATGGGGTTTTCCTTAAGGGAAGGGGTGCGAAAACACAAAAATACTGAACGGAGGGTCTCTCTTTACAGTTATTTGTACTGAGATTTCCTCTCCTGGTATCTATGGCTCTGATCAAGCTGTTCCTCCTGAGAGCCCTTCTTGCAGGTGGCGTCAGAAGCCACAGATGACTTTCCTGAGCATCAGCCAAGAGGCACAGATTCCCAATAGCTTCTTCTGTTTAGAGGGTTGTGGCTGCAAGCATCTTAAGTGTCGGTATGCTCTATTAATATTTGCAAATGAATCAATTAAAAGCCCTGCTGGTGTATTCCTCCATTCTTGAACATTTTCTGGCTATTAGCAGAGGAGTACAATGAATAACTGGCTTGAAAATGCCCTGATCTCTGTCGTCAACAGGAGGATGCTTATGGTCAGTTTAAATGGCTTCTCTGGAGAGCTTTCTACATTGCAGGAGCTCATGTCACTGAGGTTTTCAGTAGTTAATGAGTGTGAAGGTAGCCTGCTGGTTACTTTTCTGCTGGGAGACTGCAAAGAAATTGGATATAATAGGAATTTGCATACACTGATTTCCTGGTGGACGCACAGTGTGAATGAAAAATGATCTAGAAGGAGGATACTGCCTGTGAATATCTGCCTGCCTCTGCCAGATGCCTGCAGCCTGTGCGTATGATGCCTCTCCAGCCAGGTGTGCTTTAAGAAGGAAGCATGTGCTCCCTTGCAGTCCCACCTGTCCGATGGTGTAGGTGGGCAGTTGGGTTGCCTTGTCCACAGACACCCCACAGCTCCTGTGCATTAGGCTGATGTTCTGTAGCTCTTTGATTTCAAAGTCAATTTCTGCAACTTTTTTTTTGTTGTTTTTTTCCAAAAGTCAGCTTTTTATGATACTCTCGGAGGAATCACTGGAGGGTTTGGGAGCCAGGATCAGTAGCACCCAAGCGTGTATTTGCTGGGGGGAGGCTAACACTGTTTCTTTGTTTATTTCTATCAGCTGCTGCAGGAACTGGAAAAAAAAAGAGGCTTAAGAAACACCAAAGTCCAGATCCTGACATATATCTTTGTACTTTGTGTTTTCTTTTGTGTTTTCTTGTCTACTTTTGCTTTAATAAAGCGAAGAGAATCTCACCATCATCACAATCCTGTCACGGTGTCCCTGAGGTCCCCGGGCGCAGCCGGGGAGCAGACCCCCTCCAGGGCCCGCAGCCCCCGTGGGGGCACAGCCCGCGTTGTCCCGGCACTCTGGGGGCTATTGTGCTGGTGTAAGCTTGGTCGCTGCTCAGACCATCAGCTCCCCTCGAAGGCAGCAGGTGGGGGACAAGGAACATGCTGCTGTTGGCCTGGCAGGAGCATTATGGTATGGAAAGCTCAATGAGACAAGGGGTGCAAATGGAGCTGGGGTGGAGGGGCTGTGTGACATCTTACGGAGAGCTTGGCACCACCTTAACTTGCTCCCAGAGAAGCCAAGAGGAGCCCTCTGCTTGGCTTCAGAAAAAAGGAAGTTAAGCCAGAGCAACGAGCATCCTGCACTGTGCACAAGCAGGTAAACTACCAAGTGGATTGGCCCTGGGGAGGCAGGTGAGGGTGCTCATCACCTCTACCACGGTGTAATGGAGTCCCACGTCGTTGTGTGTGCAGAGCTAGCCAGCTCACTGCCACATCCCGCAGGGTGCCCGGGGGGGTGCCGGGGAGGCTGGGAAGAGCTGGGCTCCCTGCAGCCATCTAACCCAGGGCTCTCTGCAGCCCCCAGGTACGGGCAGCTGTCGCTCCAGGTACTGATCCCTCTGCCAAGATGTTTCAATAAAAAAACAGAAGTTAAATGTATATATATATGTTTATATATAGAGAGAGAGGCATGCCCCAATTTATATTGCTAAAAATATATATTTAATGTTCTTCTGTAAGAAGGTTTCTTTCCTGATTGCACACTGAGGGTAACTAAGTATTCGTCAGGAGGTGAGTCTGTGTGCCAGTACTAATGGGAGCTTTTGATTTCAGCTTTTTTTTGGTTACGTACTGCCCAGTTGTCAAGGGTCTGTCCTTGCATGACGTGAAAGGAGCGTGCGCTGGCATGGTCTGGTGTCAGTGTCTGCATCTGCAGCTTTCCTTTAACTGCCTGGTTAGACAGGGGTAGTGTTTGCACTTGAGGGACAACAGAGCATCCTTTATTTCTGCCCTCTCCAACTGCACAAAGTGTCCTTGCACTTTAGGGCAGAATCCTGGAATTACAAAGTGGTAGCTGCTTCCTAACGGATGTTTCAGAGTAGATTTTTTAGAGGCACAGAAATACTTTATTGTACCACAAGGACCGGCAAATTTTCTCTCTGCACCTTCGTGTGCTGGTGCCTGCTGGCCAGCCGTGCAGGAGCTGGCGATGCAGGAGGCGCGGCGTGGCCACGGCCGGTGCCCCCGGCGAGTGCCCGGCACCAGGGGCAGCACAGCTGGGAGGCGGCCGCCAGCACCTCGGGCACGAGCTGGCCATCAAGCCATGGGTTTCCAGAAGAAAAGGCTCAGACTGCAACCTTCCCACACCTCTGTATTCTCGCTCACCGGGGCTGTAGTCACTGCTTTGAGGAAGCAAGGAGGGACTTTTGTTCATTCCCATTTAAAATGGCAGGGGAACCTGCCTTTGTGATTCAAAAAGCAAATATCTGCACCACACATAAAACCACAGCAAATTTATAATAAGCTGCTCTCTGTGCCAGGTATTTTGTGTTCTGTGGCAATTTAATGCTGTTTTTATTTGTTAACGTCTCTGTAATAAAAAGAGTTCTCTATATTGATATATTTTATTTTCTTTGTAATAAGCCAAAAAGCTCATTGCTGGTGCCTTTTTGCCTGGGGAGGACTCCCAACCCACAGCTATATTCATGAAAGTAACAAAGCATAATGTAATGTATTTGCAATTGCTTGTTTCACCATAGCTAAGTAAAGTCATGAAGCAAACACCACAGGATTACCAAAAGAAAAGGAACAAGCAGCCTACAGATTGGGCAGAATTTCAGGTACAATAACGCGGTTATTTCTCCAGCCTGTTTCCAAGCGAGTGATTCCAAGGTGAGGGCTGACCTTTTGGCTTCCCACACTCGGTATCGAAAAGCCTTTGCCCTGTCTCTGTGGGACCTTTTTGCTGCATTGTCAACCTTTGTCCTCTGCACGATTTGCGATTTTGTTGAAGCATACACACATCATTTTACGAGGGTTGCAACTTTACCGTGGTTGCAACATTGTTGTTCAAAAATGGCAGTATTTTGCCTAAATTAATAGCATCTGAGGCCAAATTCTGCTTCTAGAGAAAGACATCGGTTGGCTTGTTGCCACTGTTCCTTTTTTTGTTGTTGCTGTTCTTTATCGGAACTACGATCTGGCCTTAAATACACAGACCAAGGAAGATGGAGACCTGCCGTGTCACGGTGCCGTCGAGGCTGGAAGCAGGTGACAGCCCGCTGCCGGGAGGCAGCTCGGAAATCAGAGCGCTGGCCCGACCGACATCCCTGCTTGTAACGAACCAAAAAGGGGAGCCCGGCCGGCACCCAGGATCAAGACAAAGCCAGTTATACTACACTAGGGGAAATCAGACTATTTAGTTTTTGACTATTAGTCCATGCTTGGGTCCCGTGCGAGCGCTCGGCCCGTGCTGTGCCATGGGGCAGACCTTCATGCTTGGTGTTTGGCTCTTTTGTAATCCTAAAATCTGTTGTTCTAAGTACAATAAAAAGCAGAATCTTGTTTGTTGGAAAACTGCTGTATGCGTGTATTTGGCTTTTATTTCAGTTATGTGCATGAAAAAAATGTTATTCAGTGTGACAAATAATAGATATTGAAGAAGCCAGGAATAATTGGGTCATTTTTAAATGGATGAGGCTGTATGTTGGGTTATTCGTAGGCTATTTTTCACAGTCGGATTTTCGCTATTAATTACATGTCTGAACTGTTAATTCATTTACCCATCTACTGACTAATTCTTTCATATATGCCTCTTTGGGTCTTTTAAAATTGGATATCATTTGATTAATGTGTTTCTTGAAGCAAGGAGCTAATAAAGGCCAGTGTCCTCCTCCTTTCGTTGTTGTTTTCGGTATCTTTATGAGCAATTGTAAATCCATTCTGCTGTAACTTCATTATAAAATTGACCTGTGCTCTCCAAGTAATAAAATAGACTGCTTATCAGCCCACTTTTTAATTCAAAGCACAGATGTGAGTATTGCACAAGGTCAAGATTTGTTCACTGTGAGACAAACTGAGGAGCTTAGAAAAAAAATAATACCTCATCAGTTCACAAATAGCTGGAAATGTCTAGTGTATAATTGCACAGCAGTGGTACATGTACCAATACCACACGAACTGAAAGCAAAATGTACTTACCATAGAAAAAACCTTGTCCATGTGCAGTAGTACCATGTGTGGTCATCTGCTGAGAATCCAGGCCTGTCCCTTTATCTGAGTCACAGCTGAAAGTGACCCTGTTACTTTCCAAGTTCACCCTTAATTGACACTGAAAAAGCCAACACAGTTCTCAGGCTGTGTTGCCCTTGCAGATACCCGACAACGTCTTTGAGACCCAGTGTTCCCCACCAACACTTACGTGGCCACCAGCATCCCCTGGGACATTCAGGAACCACGTGCGGTGGCTGACCCCGTCCTGCCCGTGCCGCACATCTCCTGGGCTCTGGCTCCTAATGGGCTCCAGCCTCCTGGGGCTGTCACAGCATTCGTCTCCTAGGACAGTAGGGAATTACTCTGAGTGGCTGCAAAGGACTGGATCTTGTCAAAAGGGCAGATTTACGTTATCTGAACCAGTTCTGCTTGGTTTTGTTCCAGCCATTTCCACCGCACATTTATTTCCCTTGCACATCTGTCCGTCATGACTTCCATCATGACCTACAAATCACACCTGAATTGCTGTTGCCTCAAGGTAGTTCCTAACCCCGTGTGAGGAATGCAGTTTCCCTGGTGGCCGCAGAGCAGGAGAACCCTGCCTTGCTGGGACGTGTGCCTGGAGGAGTCCGGAGCGGAGCAGCCCGTGTCCTTTACTCTGGGGCACACAGAGACCCCCAGACACAGCGCTGTTACCAGGAGGAAGACGAAAGCAATTATGGTGTACAGGTCCAGAACGAGTTCAGCCAACGTCTTCCTTTTTATCTAATTACTCTTTGCCAAAAAGAAAGCAAGGCCAAGTTAGTGAATATGTTTGGCAAGGACAACTTCTGATTTTGATACTTGCAGAATTGGTGAGCCCTCTGCCCTGGCGCTGAATCCAGAGCGCAGGGGCTCCAAATAAAGCTGCTAGCCTCGTTTTTACTCTGTCCTTTGGACGTTCCCTGTGTTTGCCTGCAGACACACAGGCACATCCTAGCACGTGTGGGCTCGGCAGGCTGCGTGCCAGCAGGGCCCTGCTGCTGCGGGGTGGGTCGGGGCAGGAGGAGCCGAGGCAGGAACCAGGCTTGGCTGGAAACACCTCATGTCAGCCAGCCCTGAAGTGGCTCCATGCGTTAGAGCACTTTGCTTGCATTTGTATCAGAACAGGCAGTGGGGAATTTGTAAATCAGAAAAATTGTTCCATTTCATAACGTGATAATGACTTGCTTTAAACACTGACTTCTGCAGTGGTTCGCCTCCCCAGGGGCTGCGGAGCCCTGCGCACACAGACACAGCTGCATTGGCAATGATTTCCCTGTGTGCCTTCCAGCTCGATCCGGATTTTGGACTGCACTACCCCTCTTAAAGCTGCCTCGCAGCGCAGGGCCGGTCCTTTCAGCAGGCGTGGGTGCACCTCCGTTAGCAGCAGCGTCCACCTCCATGCCCGGAGCTCACCACAGGTTACTGCTCCCAGCCGGAGACCAGCAGAAGGACCCCGTGCTACAAGTGCCCGCTGGCTGCTGAACCAGCCAACTGCAGACCACAGCCCCGGGACGGCCCAGAGACTGAGGCTGTTTGTACAAATGCTCATAGCAAAGGACTCCCAGCTGTGAAAGCTGAGTGGGGTCTTGTGCCCGGCACAGCAGGGGCTGGCCACAAGCTAGGTTATTGTAAGTGTTCTTTATCTGTGGCTAAGTTTCTCCACCTTTCATTAAGATTTCACATCTCCCTCCAGGCCAGACTAATTTTAAGTCCAGCCTTCACCTGGAGCCCAGGGAAGTGCTTCGTGCCCACTGTTCTCAGTGGCTGCCGACAGCATCTTGGTGCTCTGCCCTCCTCCAGCCCCTCGGGATGCCCAGGGCACAGAGGTGATGCCCCCGCAGCGCCCAGCCCCAGCCTTGCAGACGCACGGCCGAGGGCACCCGGGGTGGGTCCCACAGGAGAGCGGGGCTGCGGCAACGTGTGGCTGTGCCAAGTACTCGGCTGGTCTAGTTAAAGACTGGTTCCTTCTTTTTTAATATGTGCTTACATGCGAGCTTCCCACAGAAATCCTCCTTACGAGCAGGAAAGCAGCCCACAGGCTGTGGTGGGGTCAGGCTGACCGCGTGGTCCGGGCATGAGGAACGCCACCAGCGCTGGGCTCCTCCTTACCCAAACCCGCTGGGCGGTGACGGCCCCTCGGGAAGGCTGCGGGGCCAAGGCACCAGCCCTGGGGACCAGCTCCCCCCGAGCCCCGTGGGTGGCAGCCTCTTCGGTGGGACGCCGGGGGGACAGAGGCCATGAAAAAACGTCTTGCACACATTTCTGAAAATATAAGGAAAATAAAGAGTGCCACAGCTTTTACCGCTTCAAAGCGTCTCCTGATTTTTCAGTCCAATCGCAGGATATTTTTTGGTGGACCTACTCTTGATTTATGTCAAGTTGCTGGTGGTTGCCAAGAAAACGTCTGTGTAGAAAGCTGCTCCTAAATCAAAGCATTCAGCTGGTTAATTGTGCAGCAAGTTTGGCCAGAGCCAGTTATGTGGCTCTAAGCTAAGACTCTGGTCTTGCAGGAAGCCGTGCGTGGGCGGGCTCCTGCGCCTGCATGGGTCTCTGCGCGGCGCATACATTTCAGTTGTCAGTGCTCCACTAAGTACATTTCAGTACATTTCAGTTCTAAATTTATCATGTAGATGTGTCTACTGAAGTGTGCCCTTAACCTCTCCAAATTCTTCCTCTGGGAAGTCCTAGCGGAGGCCCAGCCTCAGACTTGGAACCTTTGTCCTGTTACATGCTTTCTCCATATAAAAGCCTATGGGCTTCTACTTGATGCTGGAAAATATTTTTCTTGCTCAGATTAGGTCAAAACATTTTCCTTAAGGAAGCAAAACACTGCATCTGTGGGCTGGGACACCAAAACCGTTGTGATAGTGCTTCAGTGCTCAGCCTAACTTGTAATCATTTAATCCCAGAGCTAACACAAAAAGGCAACAGCTGCTCTCCCTGAAACAGCATGGCTTTGTGGCACCCGTCCCTGGAAAAATGACGGCCCCAGACGCTGATTTTTCAGACTGCAAAGAGAAGCAAGGCGCTAGGAAGGACAGCAACCCCCGAGCTGCCGCTGGCCCTCATGCCCCCGGGTGCCAGGAGCCCCCATCCCCAGTGTGCCCGCCGGGTGCTGAGCGCTCCTAAATCTGGGTTTGAGCAGCGCCTTCCCAAAGGGCGGTGGCGCCCCGAGCCCCCCAGGCAGTGGCGCCGCACTAAGGTGCAGACGAGGCTGGGAGAGCTGAGGCATCGTTCTCTGCAGTGCTCCCAGCGCTGCGAGCTGTATTCATTTGGCCAGGACTGTGGGCTCCTGCCAGCTTATGTTCTTAGGATTAGTCTTCCCAGCCAAAGAGGAGGGGGAAAACTAAGAGGGAGCGAAGGAAGCACTTCATGCTGCATGCCATGAACCTCACGCACCAACTCGGGGAGGAAAACGTGTGCTGCAGGCAGAGCTCAGCCACCACCGGCACGCTGCGGCGCTCAGCAGCGAACAAATCAGCATGCACTCGGTGTTCCCTGCTAGGGGAGCGATTTTCTTCTTCGTTAATAGGAAAAAGGCTGACTGTCAAAACACCCAGAGCTCTACTAAATCCTGCTGGGAGGAGGGTGTGCTGGGGCTGCCCTCCTGCGCCCCGCGCTCTGGGGATGGGGCAGGCAGGACCGGGCTCCCCGGAGCCGGAGCCCAGCCAGGTGTCACGGGGTGCAAACTGGGCGCTCGGTCTGGGGACAAGGGGTCTCTCAGAGTGACCTCCTGGCACACCGGGACACAAAGATGATGGGGACAGAGGTGAGCTGTGAAGCTATGGGGCAGGGCTGCAGTCCAGCAGCCTCAGACGTGGACTGGAATGGCACAAAATAATTGCAGGAAAGATACCGGGAATAACAAAACAATTAGGAGCCTGAAAAAGTGTCAAGGGTTGTTGCTGGAGAAGCGTTGCTGTTGGTTTACGGCATTTAATTAGGGCCACAGGTTGAAATGCAGGTCAGCATGCTCGCTGCTATTCAGCTGAAGCCCATCACGGACACAAGAGCTGAACTTACTCATCCTACATGGCCAGAGCAGGAATCGCTGAGGAAAGCCAGAGGCAGGGCTTACAGGGGGGAAAGCCACCGGGGGTGCTGAGCCCAGGCAGGGCCTGGGGCTGAGGCAGAGCCCCCCGAGGCTCAGTGCCAGGGGCAGAGCACAGCAGGGGGTGGCACAGGGCAGGGGCGCACACCAGGCGCCCACCGTGCTGCAGGGATTCTGCTGCCGAGCGGCTGAGCCCCTCGGCCACGAGCTTGCCCCCAGGGACCAACCCCTGCAGGTGAGGTGTGTGGAGGCCCCTCGGCTCCCCAACGCCTCTCTGGGCATCGCTGCCTCGATGCCTGGCAGTAAATGGCTGCTGAAGTAGGAAATCTCACGGCGAGGTTGCGGCTCTGCTCCGCGAGGGAAGCGCTCCCATCCCTCCCTGCATCCCCGCCGTGCCCTGCCCTGAGCTGCGACGCCTCTCATGGCAAAAAGTCCACGGTTTCAGGATACAGCCAGTTAGGGGAAATGGTCCAGTGAGCAACCTGGACTTGAAAGAGCAAAACGATTCAAAAATGCTTTTGGCATTTATTTGAAAACAAAACCAACAAAACACCAAAAAACCCCTGTGGGCTCAGCAGGAATTTTGTGGTTGAAGAAGGCCTGCCCTGC